TAGAAGCTGCTTGAAGGGAAAGACTTCCATTTTTATTTTTATATATCTAGCACCTGGCCCATAATAGGAGCTTAATGAATGCTTGTTGATTGATCATCTGATTAGTGTAAACTCAGTCCTTTTCTCCTGAAAAAAAGAGTCCTAAAGTGATTATTCTGCAGCATTAGAAAATGTTTCCAAGTCAGAGTCAAATGATGGACAAGTGAGTGCAAAGTTGGAGAGGAACTGACACCATTTTCAAAAGCATTGCTCCATAGAACAAAGTTGCTCTCTGTGCTAAATAAAGGAAGGGAGGGTGATGTCAGGAGAGAGAATACTGACACTTCATCAGACACTGAATCAATTTCTTCCCCAGGGCTATGATGTACTGAAATGATGGGAGCCTGATTAAGCACAGCTTTCTATGGGCTATTTTTTAAATGGCAGCCTTCTTGCAAGGACGGCTAACTCTAACACATTCATCCAATTTGCTTTAATGGAGCACATACCCTTGTCCAGTCTTAAACATTTGCCACTTTAATTTCCCATAATTAAGAGCCAAACTGTCTCAGCTCCAGCTCTTATCGGGATTAAAGAACTTGTGTCTGAATGTCACCCTGACTGTCACCAGCCAGCATGTCATTGGAAAGCACCTATTTTAAAATAAACTGACCGACAAACCACAGACTTCTTTTATCTAGTGTCATCTAGGAGTTTTTCCATCTATGAAATGTAACTTTAAGGTGATTATACCAATATCATTTTTTAAACAAACATCAGGATCTATACCTAAAAATGAGCTTTTTTTTTCTCCTTCAAAGTAAATACACTTATTCCAGTGATGCTGCCTTTGCTGAAAGCATTTTCAGAATTCTTTATGAAGGCTCTGGTGCTTAATCTTAGGAAAATAAGATCATTAGAGCCAGAAGGGACTTGAAAAGCCATGAAGTTTGAACCCATTTTACAAATGAGGACTTGCCCAGGGTCACACAGTCAATATTTTGTTTGTTTGGGTCAGCTTCCCAGTGCACCAGTTTCTCTTCAAGACCAGCTTAGGAACTTTGCCTTCAGCCCCAGGACTTCCACTTTTCACATTCATTTTGAAACTTTCTTTATCATTAAACTTTATTCTAGGAACCAAGCCTCTGAACATTAAGGGTCCTAAAGTCCTCTTAGCATCTTGGGCTCAGAGATCTACCCCCACTCAATTCCTAATTACCTTTGCCTGCCACTGTTGCTATACCCAAAACAGGATGACCAGTCCTGATATCTGTTCTTTTTTTCCCCTTCTACTCCCTTCTATACATTATCCAAACCACAAAAGTTTTTTTTTAGTCAATCATTAAACATTTATTAAGCACCTACTATGTTCCAGGCAATGTGCTAAGCACTGGGGATACAAATATGAAAAAGACAATCCCTGCCCTCAAGGAGCCTACAATCTAATGGGGGGAAGACAACACATCAATATTGGGCTCAGACAGTTGAGGAGAAAAGGGGAGTTAGAAGAATCTATAGAGCAATGGATGGGGTATTGGCCCTCAAAATCCATGGTCATTAAAAAATATATATTATTCAGTACTCCAGGCTATGAATGCACAAATAATACGTGGTAGAACAGACGGCTTTCATGTTTCATACCTTAAAAGCCTTGTCTAGTATGCTGGCACACAGATGGAGAAAATCCCCCTGCTTTTTATAAGGAATTAATATTTTCCTAGTGACAGGGATGGTTGAGTCCCCATCATGACCAGAGAATTTTCTAGCATTGGGGAGAGGAACAAATGTGCTAAATGTACCGACTGATTTGATGAGAATAGCAAAGATTTAGCTGGGTGAGTAAGAAAAGCTATAGAACATTTACAGAGCTGCTCCTAGTCAATGCTGAAGAACTCTAGCACTTTAGGAATGATGAAACAATTCCCTTACTGGCCACTGAGCTGATTCAGTGGATTTTTATATTTTTTTCCTTCTTCTAGTTTTTCATTTAAGTGTGTACAGAAGAGTTTGTTTTATTGTAGCACCTGAAAGAAAAATTACAAGACACAGTCACTAGTCAACAGATTTTTTTTACTTGCAGTGCAAAGGAGCTGCATAGAGAGATGGTTTCTTTGAGTGTTCAATCAACTTGATTTTCCTAGGGGACTTTTATGCAGAAAAGCAGCAAAATCAATGGAAATGCTGACTGTATTCTGATTGACTAAACTAACAAGGTACAAGAATACATAAAAACAAATTCACAGTTAAGAAACATCTGCTTTGAAAGAAATAGGTGATATGCAGTATTCACAATTTGAACAGGATATAGATTACATATAGCATAGGCAATTAACTATAAAAGAAAACATTTGTTCTGTAACCAGGGTTAAGCCTGGTACATTTGCCTAAGGCTCTTCTCATTGGCAAAGAGAATAATTATCCCGTGCTGCATCAGTGCAGGCAGAGTTGATGAAAGCTTGAGAGAAGAAAGGTCTTTTTGCTTCTAACTTTACAAGAGAACTTACTTGGTTCCAGGCTTTCTTCAAAAAGAGTGCCCTGGAGGGAAAGAAAGGCTTTGGGAGAAAGCCAACATGCTTTCAACTCTTCAATATGTCCTAATTTCCAGCTTGCCTCCCTAGAGACATTGGGGAATTTCCCATTGGATGAGGTCAGGAACTCTCTCAATTTGAGCTGTATATCTTGCTCCAAAGGAAGACCTCATTTGCTCTGTGTATTATCTGGTATTTTCTAATCCACATAACATTTCTGATTTCTGTTTGCTTGTATATATGGGCACATTCTCTATTAATTACTCTTGAAGGTCTTAGTGTAAATGGCATTTGGTGAGAAGGAAATCAAGCCTTCAGATCTTCCCCGACAGTAACCAAGAAAGTGACTTGAACCTAAAAATCATTTCTCCTGGACTAGAAATATGTCATGAAACAGTTATATATAATTCTAGCCCTAGCTTCCTATCCCCTCTTTAAGGAGAAGCATTATGGCTCCAATCTCCTGCTACCCTCTAGTTAGGAGCCAAAGACTTCCTTAGAGTGCGATAAGTGAAAATATCTCTACACAAATCCCTGCAAGTCACATTTAGACAAACCTATGTGGACATATGCATAACCCATGTGGGCAACACACATGTACAGTTCAAAAAGTATATATAATATAGGGAAGTTTTTTGGTTTAGTTTTTTTATATACTATTATACTTTTTTTTTTTACTTTCTTAACAAACTCCAGGAATCTTGTGATTTCTTAAAACCAAATTACTTAGGTTACTATTTAGTTAAACTTTATTTCAGTTTCTAGAGACCATGAATGATGGAAATGAGAATATGCAAATTCAGAAATAATACATTATAAGATAATTAGAAGTATAAAAAAGCTACTCAGGTTCAGACAAGATTATACTTAATTTCTTGCCTATTCTATCTACCTAATGCTTTCTGGGTCTTACTTCATCCATGATCCCCTATAGTCTTGGTGAGAATGTGATTTTCTTATGCCTCAAAATAAGGCTTCGTTTCTACCTCAATGTCCCTTTAATTTAAGGTTTTCCTGCCTCATTTATTCATTCTACAAATCCAGACCCATTCCCCATAAAAAAGGAATGCTCTTGATGCATGGGGTGCCACTCATATTATTGCCCAGATGACTAGAAATGTGTTTGTCCCTCCATCTCAAAGAAGAGGAGCTAAAAAAAAAAATCTATCACATACACTTAGTTCTCCCCACCTCAAAAATAGAATACACCACCACTCCAAAAGTGCACAAGGATGAACCTGTCAGGATATTAGAATTTCCATCAGAGCCTGTGACAATTTCTGAGTTTTCTCACTGATAGGAGAGTTTCATTTTTTGAGGGAAGATTTTATTGTTGTGATTTTTCTTCTGAAACCTTCTTTGTTATTAGACACAACTTTTTGTCACTGTCAATGTGCTTGCTTTGATCAATGGCCCCTCCTCTTTAATTTCTAATATTCCATAAACTGGAAAGACACATTACCAGACTTGTTAGAATTGTGTATCAAGTAAGAATAAACAAATGTTGAGTAAATGCCTGAGGGATTCCTGCAACTAAAGTTTAAGAGCCTCATGAGCGCTATTTCAGCTGCCAAAAAGTCTTTATCTCTATGTGGCGGTATTCCAGTTCATTGAGGTTGTTTGATTCAAGCGATAGACAGAGATGGAGATATACACACATATATACATATATATTTTTTAATCAGTTACATATACAGGTATATATCCCCATGTTTGCATTCCACAATATTACTTTTTCCTTAAGTGAAAAATATATGCAAGTTATTTCCTTTTATTTTCAAAACATTCTCTAATGCCCCCACTTCAAATACCCACTCCTGCCGTAACTACAGAGCCAGAAGAGCAGCTGGCCTGGAAGGACCTTAGAGAATAAAACTTACTCTACCTCTTGGCTACATTTCCCAGAAATGGGAACTGAAGGTCTCAAGAACAGCGAAATACTTGAAATAGAAAGGCAAATGGGCTTCCTTGCCTGGGCCTCTCTCTCTTGGGGTGCATTTGCCTGCTCCACGAACAAAAAGCCAGCAACAGCAACATACAGAGGTCCATTTTCTCCATGGATTTCCTTGATCTCTCTGATCAGTCAGCAACTTTCTTCTCTTTCAGGAGTTAGACAGAACTTTGCTTTCATACCCCTGTATGTATCTAATGCACTTACTCATGCAGTATTCTGGACTATAATTATTTCTTTCTGTGTCATCTCCACTTTGTTGTTCAGTTGTTTCAGTCATGTCCGACTCTTCATGACCCCACTTGGGGTTTTCTTGGCAAAGATATTGGAGTGGTTTGCCATTTCCTTCTCCAGCTCATTTTACAGATGAGGAAACTGAGGCAAACAGAGTTAAGTGACTTGCCCAGAGTCACACAGCTAGTAAGTGTCTGAGGCTGGATTTGAACTCAGGAAAATAAGTCTTCCTAACTTCAGGCCTGGAACTCTATCCACTATACCACCTAGCCCCCTCATCTCTACTTACTAGACTATAAATTCCATCAGATCAGTAGCCACATTTTATTTAAATTTTGTACATCCCCAGCTCCTAACACAGTATTCTGTATACAGTGTTTACTAAATATTTTTTAAATGAAGTTTAATTGAAGGTTTCTAACAAGTATGCCAAAAAGATCTGTGTGTATCATGAAATTTTCGTGAATGAGGTTATGATTTAGACTGCAGACTATCTACTTATGTGCTAATGGGGGTAAAAGGGAGGAGAAGGCGGATATAGCTTTCATTTTTTCAATCTTTAAATATTTATAAGTACAAAAAAACTCATTAGTATTACACAAATATGAGGGAATACTTCTAGACAAATTCTATTACTGATACAACCACATCTAGAATGACATTTGTCACTTATTATGTTTTCTGTAACACATTGATAATTGTTACAAATAAAAAATATAGTCTAATATATTCTTTTCAAAAGTCATTTTTATTTCTATAGATTTCCCTTTTCACATATTTACAAGGACTATTCTATAAACCTCAAATAAATTTACAAGCATGAACCAAATAGGAAAGAATGAGCATCACTAAACTGAGTACACTGAAACATTAATGGTGCCCAAATGGACTACAAACATTAATGCAGCTTCTCAGGTACCTAAATCACACCCATGAGAACCTGGCCCAGTAGTATTCACTATTAATAATCTCAACCACCGCAAATGTATCTGTTGTCTAATTTCAAACCTAAATGACACATTAAAAGTCAATTTAAAGAATCTTTTCAATTTCTAAACTGAAAAAATCAAGCATAATTAGTGTATGTACAGACTATATTAGAATTACATCTAGGATGTACACACTAATGCTTTTAATGATTACCATGCTCCAGACCTCTTTTAATAGGCACCTCAAATACATACATATGTGTGTGCTGACAGGAGTCACACACATATGCTCATGTACATACACAAACAGAACAGTGGGAAAGGCAATAATTTACCTGGCAGTCCTGACCACTTTACTCTTAAGCCGCTTGCAAACTGTTAAATGACTTATGATGTTTCTATTCCTCGACTGAAGTATGTGAATTTTTGCATGTCAGAGGCTCACAAACAGAATTGTAATCAAGTATGGACTAAAACAATGAAAAGTAATCTACCTATTTTTTTTTCCCAAATGGGGCCTCAGTAAGTTTTTTTTTAATATTAATGACTCAAAATATTATATACATGTCAAATAGTTTTAGGCTTATAATAATTGTAGTTTGACCTTAAGAAGCCCAAGCTGCCAGGTGTTTTATGTCATCTTCATCTTCTTTCCTCCTGGAAGATGCTGTAGTTTAAAAAAAAACAAACAAAAAAAATGTAAATCAATGATTGAGGAATGCTGCATGGATCAAGAATCACTTGTTTCAAAAAAATCTTATTAGATATTTAGGTACTTGTCAAAATTTAGGTAATCTCCAAGTCCTTTACGTGGGAATATGTTTAGTATAGGTTGGATATGGAAAGTTGCATATTTCTTAGAGAACCAATTAATTCCCAAGAGTTTAGCTGGAAGCGTACCTGCTCGGGATCGATGTGAGGTGGATGGTACACTTGGCAGCCTACCAGGGTGGGCTGGCAGCGAGGTAGAGGGTACATTTGGAAGTCTGATATTTGTCATCTTCTTATTTAATTCCTCCTGCTCCAATTCTTCAAGCTCTGCCATCAACTCATCCTGAGCACAAGTGAAACAAAGAATGGCAGATTTAATGTCTGAAGACGTGGGTTGGCTCATACACAATAACAGGAACATCTGCTTTCCAAATTGATATGTGAAAATTCAATGAGATGGAATTTTTATTTTAAAGCTAAACTCTTCTTACAACATTGAGCAATAATTAAAAATGAATATTTTGGGGTTTTGCAAATTTGATGTGGTTAATCTTATGATACTTCAGTAAACAGCCATTCAAATCATTCATGCTAAGGGAACACATAACCTCACTAGTTTCTGGAAAGAGTTTGCACCTGCCAGTTAATTCGTTCAATGGACCACTTCTATCCTCCTATTTAGAAGAAACAATTCTAGCAAGAGCGTCTTAGAGGCCTGCTATGGCAGAATGGAAAAGTCAAGTCAAATTCACAAGAATTTATTAAGCACCTACTATATGCCGGGCACTGTGCTAAGTACTAGAGATACAAAGAAAGGAAAAAGACAGTGTCTGCTCTCAAGGAGAATTCACAACTTAAAATCATAAGACTTAGGTTCAAATCTTGTATCTGACACAGCAATATGACCAAGTTACCTCTCCTCTCTGAGCCTGTCTCTTTACTTGAAAAATGGAACTAATAATGCCTTCCCTGCCCATCTCATAAGGTTGCTGTAAGGATTACATATGAGCTCTACAAGTGTTACCTATTATCTTCTGAAACTAATGAAGTAACTAACTTCATCACAATCTACATAGCACAACATTTTCATTCTGGGTGAGTCTATTAATTTAAGCCACAGAAACCACAGCAAACGGATAATGGTCCAAAGTATTATATTTCTAGGAAAAAAATGTTGTCCAACTAGCTCTATCTCCAAAGAGAATGTAGTTCTAGCCATGGACTTCAGCTCAATACCATCTAGAGTTTGTTTCTTCTAGTACTGGTCAAGATGATATAAAGTAATCCTAATGCATTCTGAGAGACAGGGTTAACTCTTAGGTATGTGTCCCTCTATTGAAGGCTTCAGATGGTCTAGGGGCTGTCAGACTTAAATGGATACCTTCAGCAGTATGGTGAAATCTATGGACCCCCTTTCAGAATCATGTTTTCAAATGTATAAAATAAAATGCATGGAATTGCAAAGGAAATCAATTATACTGAAATACAGTTATTAAAATATTTTAGAAGCAAGTTCATGGGTTCCAGATTAAGAACCCTGCCCTACAATGAGACTATAAGCCTGATCCAACTATGTCATCAAGGAATTTCAGTATCCTTGGGGATGCAAGATGGCCCAGATCTAGTCCATTTGGCCTGATGGAATAGTTCCTTCTGAAATATCCCTGATCTAGTCTGAAATACATTGATTTCAGCCAAAATTTCACAAATATATCTATTTGAATGATTGTTTGCAAAGGAAAATCTTTTGTTTAAAAAGTAATGAGATATAAAATAGTATAGACATTGGTGAAATATCATATTGAAGCCTATGTGTTTTGATGGTTAGTGTTAAAGAGGTCATGAAGCTGACTACAAATGCCATATGGATGAACAACAGACAAGACAGGTAAGAAAAAAGTGGAAGAGTCCCTATTCCTTCCACCAAAACTTACTTCAATTCCTTAATGATCTGTGACTTTGACAGTGTGAACACACTACCCCTACCCAATACAGACTCTACAATCTCCCTATTCCTCCATCTATGGTCTTCTCTCCCTCCTCATCTCCACTTCTCAGCTTCTCAGATTTCCTTCAAGTCTCAGCTAAAGTCCTGCCTTCAGCAAGAAGCCTTTCCTAGTCCTCCTTAATCCTAGAGCCTTCCCTTTGAGGTTACCTTCAATTTATCCTGGACTTTTGGGACACTTTAATAAACACACACACACACACACACACACACACATACAGACACACACACACATGCTATATACAAATATTCAACATACAAGGAATTCATTCCATTTTGGACACCTTGAATTGCTAGGAAGTTTCTCCTTGTTCTGCTCTCTGAAGAAATATAGAAGTCTAATCCTTCTTTCACATGAAAGCCCTTCAGTTTTTTGAAGACAACAATCCTGTCCCCCTGGGTCTTAGAATAAAAAATAAATTCAAAAATTCAAAAAAAGTCTCTGGAATAAATATGCTTGCTTCTTTCAAGTGATTCTTGTATGATAAAACTCTTAGGAATAAATAAAGCAACAAGAGAACATATTATGATGTCACAGTATGTATGAGTTCCCATAGTTGCAAATAATGCTTTCTTATTTATCATAGTAAGCATACTAAACAAAAGACATTATCATACTATTAACTATTAAATGCTACCTTTAAAATCATATCTTGATGTCTCATCATGACATAGCGATATAATATAGTTTGTCTCCTAAAATTTGGAGGATGTGCTATATAAACATCAGTGGAGGGAGTAACCAGATCAATGAAATCACATATCTTTGAAGTAATGGAGAAGAATTAAGAAACACAATAGAAAAAAAAGTCATAGTATCTATTAGTCCAGTGCTTTGCAAATCAACTATTAGATTATAGAATTTCTGAGTTAAAAGGGAAAATAGAAATCTTGTAGTTCAACTCTTCATTTTATAGATAAGGAAACAGAGACCCAGAGAGGTTAAGTGATTTGTTTGAGTCACAGTTTGAGGTGACTAGTGGCAGAACTGGATCTTGAACTCAGATACCCTGACTCCCATTTCCCTTTTCTCTCCACCTAGACACACTGACAGACATTAGATGTCTACACAGTCTATAAAAGTCATTAGTCCCCACTTCTTACTCTCCCGGTTTCTATGGATATTATTTCTTGGGAGCTGGATTGTTCTTTTCGGATATGAAATATTATTTTCACTAATAATCATGTGAATATCATGTAGTTACAGATTTTTTGTTGTGCTCTCACAATCAGATTTTTTTAAAATCTTGTACATATACTATGATATATATGTGTACTTGGAACAGAATAACTTAAATTTCACACTGCAGCCATTTAGGATTATAGGCTGTGTTATTGGACAGATTAATTTTAATGGGACATGTTTATTAATAATGCCACTCCACATGTATTTAGTTCCATAGTCTAAGAAATAAACACAGTCAGCTTAACCCTCTAATTCCAGATGCTCTTTAGCTCTTAAGTCTCCCCCTTGCAGACTAACCCAATCTGAACTATGTTTTGCCCAGATGTGAAAGTACTCTTTTCCTTTTAATGGAGCATTTTAGATTTCAATCACAAAAAATCCTTAACTTATTTACATAATTACATCCCGATTTGTCCTGATTTTAAAAGCCAAAAGCTTAATTGGCAGACTGTTTGCCAAAATGTACTTGTCTTTTCTTTAAATAAAATACTCCCAGGACTCTTTTTTTTTTCTTACTTGCAAAAATAAATCTATAACAAATATGTTGAACATAGTATGGCATAAAAGACAAAGATTTCACCTCAGAGTCAATTAGATCTGGGTTCAACATCTCCCTCTGACATATACTAGATGTGTGGGCAAGTCATGTCACTCAATGTCACTTAAGCAAGCCACTTAATCTCACAGTGATTTAGGAAACTCTCTAAATTGCAAAGCAGGTACCAATTTGCATTGGTAGAGAGAGCTTTCTTATGCGGAATTCTTTATACCAACAAAATCCCAATCCAAAATCCTAGTCCAAAATAGAAAATTGAAAGTATGTTGAACTGATAAATACTTTAAAAAAGAAATCATTTGCATACTCTGAATGGTGAGAAGGTTTCAGAAGATGGATCTTCTGAAGGCACTGACATTTACAGTGGACTCAGCTCTAATTTCCATTTTGTTGTGTTACTAACCTCATCAAAATCATCATTAAATCCAACTCGCTGAGAAAATGCTTCTGAGATTTCCTGGGCGATGTCTTGCTGCTCTGTAATCTCTTGCATCAAATCATCTATTTTGTTAATGTCCCTGGGGAAATAATTTTTATTGAAATATTTAGAGTTTTCAGTTTAAAGTTAAGAATTTAAACATAACTCCACATGAAAAATGAACCCATTTACTTTAAAGTCTTTGATATTTTACCAATCTCCTGCAGTCAGAGCATATAAATAATGTTATTTTTTATAAAATCAACTTTCTAAAAAATTTGCATTATAAAAGAAAAACCTTGCCTGAACAGGTATAAATACTGCCCAAATGGCCTCTGCATTTGGGGAATGAGGTCATATACGGATTTTAAAAAGGAAGCTTCTTGTGATTAAGATCAATTTATTTTGTAGTTAACAAATGGCAAAACACCGTTTCTATAGTTTAGTTAAGGAGAAAAACGGGAGAAATTTTAATTTGAGCCACTTACGGCAAGACATCATTTGGGGAATCCAGCTTTTTGTTAGATTGTTGTTATAGGTTATCAGGTACCATTCCATTTAGGTGACACATAAGTGGCAGTTCTTGCTAGTCATTACCAGGAAGCAGTCACTAATAGAAACATAGGGGACAATGCAAGAATGTCCTTTACAGATACTGATTGCTCAGGGACCTTGGTTAATTGTGTAAGCCTCTCAGTTGTCACTATTGCCACTGGCAAGTTAATTACAGATGCCATAGAGGCCAACTTTAGATCTATGATCTTGAGATCTAATGATCTCTGAATGATCTCAGCACTCATAATACAAGTATTCAAATGTCCACTGTGCTAGGGTATATAGTAGATCAGGATCCATAATATGGTAAAGGCTTTACAGTCCTTAGGCAACCTGAAGCCTGACGTTATCTAAATGCTATGGATCCCAAATTAATTCTCCATGATCCTAGATGCGAATCACGTACTTGGCAAACCTAAGCAAGTCTAAGGATTTTTTTATATCAACTAATCGTATATGGAAGGAAAATGATTATTCTTCTCACCCATATGAGTACTGTTGTGTTGGGATATGTCAACAGATGCTGCCCCAAACTGCTAATGTAATAAATCAGTTGCAATAGTCCCAGTTTCTAGGGATGTTATATAAAATGTTTGGGAATAACCATGGAGAGAGTATGGGAGGTAGAAACAGGAAGGGGATAATATTTGACTCAGGAGATGAATTAAAACATAGAGGGCAATCTGGGGCAATGCTAAGTTTGGACACTGTCAGGGAAGGAGTGGAAGCTAGTTGTCATCTGTAATTGCAATATTTAGCTTCTAATTATAGGATCTATTTTAGAATACAGGATGCACAGTGTCATTAGGGCATTCTGACTTTGATAAATAAGTAGAATGTTCTCTCCATGGTTGTCAAAATGGCAAGTCAAACTGATTGTTAAGAAAGTTATCATGCCTAACTATGGGCAGATCCCGGCCTTTCCTTTTCTCTGTTCTTCTCCTACTTTGTGGTAACTGAAATACCTTCTCTCAGGTGGCCTGTGCTCTGGACTCTCTCTAACCCTCCTCTCCATCAAAATATGCTTTGAAAAAAATTAGAGATATCACTCATATCCTAGTATGAATTTAAATGTATTTGCTACTTCTTTCAATATTTAGATTTTAAAGCTTATCTGTAATTATAAAACATTTCTGAACACCCCCCAACATTGGTTAAAAGTCATTTCTTTCAGCAAAAAGGTGGAGGAGAGGCAAAGAGTAGAATATTCCTGGCTTCTGGAATCATACCTTACAATAGACAACTTTCTAATCCACCCAGGCATAATGAGAGTCCTGAAAGCTGAGTTTGTTTTGTTTTGTTTTTTTCCCCTTCTAATAGAGTATTCAATTCAGGATATATTGTATTGGGATTATTGGAGAATATGCCAGATCACCTCAGCACAGATGAAACTCTTCTGTTTAAAGTTAGTCACTTGTTCCTTCCTAAGAATAACTTCCAGAGCAGTAATTACTGGTTGGGAAAGAAAACCAAAACCACTCACATATTTTCATGAACTGCTTTCATAGCTTTTGCAGCAAAGCCCATGTTCCTTAACACTTCTGTGTTAGTATGGGAATTTTCCAGGGCTTCTCTCTGGAACTCAATGGTTGAAAGTGTGCCATCAATCTGAGTTAACTGTTTCTCAAACCTCTTCTTTCTCTTTAGTGCCTGTAATGCCACTAGGTAAAGAAGAAGTCAAGTTTAGAAAGCCAGAGGCCAATTCATCCATTCAACAACTATTTATTGAGTGTTTACCCAGTGCTCAGCATGGTGGATTCAGCAACCAGAGTATGAAGATAACTTGAAAATAAAATTTGTCTTTTCTACCATATCTCCCATTTCAAAGGGATAGGAACTAGAAAAATGACCTGCCCAGATCACTGAAAGTGATGTGACCTGCCCAGGGTCACACAGCCACTGTGTCAAAGGCAGGACTTGAGTCACGTCTTGTTAGTTCTGAGACTATCTACTATGCCTCTCATACAATTCCTCCATTTCATAGGATCATCGATTTAGAGTTGGAAAGGGCCTAGGAGGTCATCTAATTCAACTCAATAATTTTACAGATGAGGAAACTAAGGCCCAGAGAGGTTAAGTTACTTGCCTCAGATCACACAGGTAGTAAGTGATATTGTTGAGGTTCAAAATTATATCCTGTGACTTCAAATCCAGCACTCTTTGCACCACACCATGCTTCCTCTTTCTCCCCTGCCTTCATTCACATTATTTTTGCAAAGAACTAACAAATAAAAAAGAAGACAAGGAAGCAAGTCTCTTTTACTATAAAAGACACAATGGAAAGGACACGGCATAGCTCATAGACTTTATCATGGTTCCCTCCAGTAATGCATATCACAATCCTTCCTTGCCTTAGTAGACAATCTTTCTTGAGTTGCTGTAACCAAAACATGTTATCACCTGATGGCCAACATTCAGCTTCTCTGAAATTGGCTAGGCTAGTACTTAGACAACAGACATGCTTACGGACTTGGAATTTATCACCAAGCCTATAGATAAGAGCTTTCCAGCAGGGGACACCTGCCAGAACTTGAGCTCTGTTGTCATAGCTTTTGAGAACACAAGATCACCTCTACATTATGATGAGGCATCTAAGGAGAGATTCCATGAAGGCTGATTTTATACTGAAATATTTCTTAGTATTGCCCTTTCTTAGATTAGTTAGACCTATTCAAAGAGAGTGGATTTTGAAGGAATATGTGTGAAAACAACTAGAAACTGAATAACAAAGACTGTTGTGAACCCCATAAAAGACTTGAAGATGTTAAATTGTTTGGTTTCACTGGCAGCCCTGTAAAATGATTCCAATAGAGAGATCTTCAATTGACCGAAAGATGATAAATGAATGAATGAGGATTTAAGGAACAAAAATGAAGATAAAGTGTAAACAGAGTGTGTGTGTGCTGGATGACAAGAAGAATAATTCCCCTTCTATATACAATTAATTGATTTTTTAAAAAAAACTGTTAGATCTTTTCAGGTTTTCCAAGTACATGATTCACATCTAGGGACCTTCAGAGAATTTGAAGAAAATGTGGCCAGAACTGGAAATGTAATGAGATATATGTTGGCGGGGAAAAATGACCACAAGATTTTATTCGTCCCAGATTATTCAATCAACAAGTATTTATTAAATGCTTGCTTTGTGTAAGGCACCGGAGATAGATCCTGCCTGCAAGGAGCTGCCATTCTATTGGGGGAGAGAGCACATAAACAGCTGTATACATACAAAATATATGTAGTATAAAATGGGAAGTAATTTCATAGATAAGGCTCTGGGGGAAGGAGCTGGGGAGAAGGGGTAGGCTTCTTGCAGAAGACAGAACTTCAGGTGAGTCTTGAAGGAAGTCCAGAAGAAAGATATAGTTAATCAAGAAATGGGAAAAAGATGGCTATTGCAATCCATCTAATATTTAATGAGACTTCACAGAAGAATTAGACCTGCCACAAATAACATGAACAAGCAATTTTCAGATGAAGAAATCAAAGATATCTATAGGCATGTGAAGAAGTGCTCTAAATCACTTTTGATTAGAGAAATACGAATTAAAACAACTCTGAAATACCACCTCACACCAATCAAATTGACTAATATGACAAAAAAGGAAAATGATAAATGTTGGAAAAGATAGGGGAAAATTGGAACACTAATGCATTATTGGAGTTGAAAATTGTTCCAACCATTCTGGTGGGCAATTTGGAGCTATGCCCAAAGGGTAACCAAACTGTGCATATCTTTTGATCCAGCAATACCACTGCTAGGTCTGTATCTCAAAGAGATCATAAAAAAGGGAAAAGTATCTACATGTGCAAAAAATATTTATGGCAGCCTTATTCACGGTGGCAAAATATTGGAGATGTCCATATATTGAGGAGATGTCCATCAACTGGAGAACAGCTGAACAAGTTGTGGTATATAAATGTAATTGAATACTGTTGTGCAATAAGAAATGATGAACAGGTATGTTTCAAAAAAACCTGGAAAGACTTGCACAAACTGATGCAAAGTGAAATGAGCAGAACCAGGAAAACATTGTACACAGTATCAGCAATATCATTTGATGATCAGCTATGAATGACTCAGCTTTTCTCAGCAACACAATGATCTGAGACAAGTACAAAGGATTCATGAAGGAAAATGTTATCCACATTCAGATAAAGAACAGATGGATTCTGAATGCACATCAAAGCATATTTTTTCACTTACTTTATTCTTTCTTCTGTTTTTTTCTTTTGATCTATTTATTTTTCCACAACTGTGATGAATATTGAAATATGTTTTATATGATAACTAACATATGTATATACTATATCAAACTGCCTACCATTTTCAGAAGAGGAAAGGGGAAGGAGAGAGGGATAAAAATTTGGAACTCAAAGTTTTGTAAAAATGAATGCCAAAAATTTCTTGAAATGTAATTGGGGGGAAAATATTTAAAGCAAAAAAAAAAAAAGAAAAGAAAAAGAAAGAATCAGACCTGCCGTTCTTAGACCTGCCAAGTTCTTCCTGACTGAGATCTGTCCTCTATCCACTATACCATGTTGCCTCTCTTAGACTTTCCTTAAATATGCTAAATAAAAGCCTTATGTTTTCATCATGGAACGTTTCTGACTCATAATAGCAATACGATCCTGTGTCGGAGTGGTCCCAGGCAACTCTTTAAGATGAAAACTTGCTGAACAGTTATCATCTTTGTCGGAAGGATTTTCTTCACTTAGGACTTCCCTAAACCAAAGAAATCAGTCTTTTTAAGGAAGGTTATGTGGCTTAACTGGATATATCCAAGGCTAGAAATATGAAGAAGAATCAAAGGATCATAGATTTAGAGCTAGAAGGAACCTTGATGACAATGAAGTCCAATCCCTTCATTTTACACATGAGGAAACTGAGGCACAGCAAAACTAAATGCCCTAGGGGGCAGCTAGGTGGCGCAGTGGATAGAGCACTGGCCCTGGAGTCAGGAGGACCTAGCCTCGGATACATAAAACTTAACTAGCTGTGTGACTCTGGGCAAGACGCTTAACCCCCAATTGCCTCACACACACACACAAAACAAAAAATTAAAAAAAAACAAACCTAAATGTCCTTAGCTTAGTGACTTGTCCAGGGTCCCACTGTCTTGGGCGGAATTTGAGGTATTTTGGACTACAAATGCAATGTCCTGTCTCCTACCTCATACTATAGTAATGATAGCATATGTATTAATAAAAGTATATAACATAACAATAATAGAATTTATATAGCACTTACTTAAGGTTTACAAAGTACTTTACAAATAGTATCTCATTTTATCTTCACAACAACCCTGGGAGATAGGTGCTATTATTATTCCCATTTTATAAGTGAGAAAACTGAGGCAGGTAGAAGTGACTTGCCCAGGATCATAGAGTTAGTAAGGATCTGAGGCTGACTTTGAATTTAGGTTTTCCTGACTCCAAATCCAGCACTCCATCCACTGTACCACCTAGGTGCTATCACAAGAAGGACACTAGGGCAGCACCTGACCCACAAATTGGGACAGAAAAGAGCTACAACTAGGGCTGGTCCTACAAGGTCCTACAAGAGGTGAAGTTTATGCACCAAGTTCTTTCCATCTCTCCGAAATTATTATCCCAGACAACAGAGCGATTAGGGAATTCTGAGGAGACCCAAGTGTTTTGTAGAGATTTGTGGGGTCTCACTCTGCCTCTGATGTCAGGCACAACGCTCCAATTAAGTGAGACTGGTTAGAAGATTAAAGTTGCCAGCATGGAAGGTTCCAGGCAAAGAAGTTTCCAGCAAATTGAGAAGGGGCCAACCAGAAGAAAATGTTTCTAAAGCAGAGATAGCTTGTTAGAAGAAAAATTAGGCCACCAAAATTAGAGGTTTTTAAGATTACGACATTGACCTGGGTAAGAAATATCAATATTGTATTAAAAACAAAAGTAAAAGATATACCCCTTCCCCCAAAAAAAATCTTTCTAGGATGCATTCTGGATTCCATTCAGACAAAACTCAGGCTCCTAGATCTTCTATATATTTATATAATATACATTGATCCAAGATTCTAGAATAGATATTAAAAGGGACAAAATTTAAATGTTAAGGGATAAAATAAAAATTTAAATAAATAAATATTAAGCATATTTATATTAACATAAATATAAATCAGAAAATTGATACATAGAATCACAACATCTTAGAAGTCATGTATTTATCATCTAACCTTCCACCCCACGCAAGAATTTCCTCTACAATATCTGACAGATGATCGTGTATCTTCTAACTGAAACTAACAAGAATCCACACAATATAGATGGAACCAGAAATCCGTGATAAAATTTATGAAGTGGAAAAAGTTTTTCTTCAAAGGTCCTCCATTTCCCTTTTCACCCTTTCTTCCTCCCACTTCCTTGAAGCCCTAATACTGAGTGCTGACTCCTCAGGGGCTCCCACTGTTCACTCTCTTGAGATCTGTCCTCCCCAAAATCGAATGTCCCATGCCTGGAATCCTTTTAGATCCCCATTGTCCTATCAAAATTTAGCTGTATTGTGTTCCATTCCCTCCAGACCTTGTTTCTGCTAGGAATTCTTGGGTCAATTAGTAAAATATTCATTGTTCAAGGTGGTTTGATGCATTAAACTTCTCAAATAACCAATTAGGAAGGCAGTATTACATGG